AGCACAAATCAGCACAACTGTCAAAATTAATAAATTCGAAAAGTGGGGGGCTAACTTCATACAGGCAACTAGCGCGACCCGTCACGAGGGGAAGGAGAGAAAGAAGGAGAAAGACGACGACTGCGAAACGGGTCTGCACGCGCGCGTTCGCTGCATAAATCGAACGTCCTTCGCGAGCGCGCGAGAGAGGAGAAGCCCGAAGACCAATTAAGATTTTCGTGGTGCGCTCTTGCTCCCCAGCGGGCGGATTATTACCTGACACATAACTCAAATCCCCTTTTCAGCGATGCGCCCAGTAATAATACCGGGAACTTCGTTTCAGTTATAATCAGCCGGCGCACCACATCCTGGTTACCATGCCGTACTACAACAGTGGCCACAGCCCCGCTTACAACAAAGGTGAGCAACGCTCCTTCATTTGGCCAGGTATGTCCTTCATTTGGCCCGCGGAATCCCTGCTAATTGCGTCTCGAGATAAATCGCCAGCCGATGACCGATGGCGCGCCCGGCTTGGATTATAATCGCCTGATTTAACGCCGTGGAAAGTGAAATGATAAAAATTGCCTCGGCCAGAGTCTCACACACACTCGAACGGAGAAAGCTTTCTCTAGCAATGACACAAATGCTTTCAACTCTTAGGCCCGTATTAATAGCTGTCACTTGAAACTTGTCCCATGTGACACACTCAGATTCTTATTCAGAGTTAGATTCACGTTTTTTCTTTCAGTTGAATTACCTTTTCCAGTCTTTCCAAGCTATTTCTAGTTGAATCGAGTATATGTATCATATAATTTCACTGGAAAATTCAAATCTAGCTCTAAATTGAAACTCGAGTTTCTCAGATAAATTTCAAGCGAGAACTATTAAATCAGAGTGATTTTCGATGTTGAAGAGTAACGTCGTAATTTTTGGAATGACTCGAGCGGTCGGTTAATATCTTCAGCGCGAAGAGAATCTTATCGGAATCGCGCGACAGTTCAGCGAACGACTGAATTAATTAAAAGCGAACCTTGTGTTCCAGACGGCGGCTCCAGCGGACCGTCCAGCACTTCTGGCGGCCGCGCCAGCAGCTCGGAGCCGACGTATATGATGGAGCATCTGGCCACGTTTACCGTCACGAAGGAAACCGGTATTGTTTATCCGGCGGACGGTATGCGCCGACTTTTGCAGCTGGAGAAAAGCAACGGCATCTGGAGTCAAAAAATGCAGCTCCGTCTGGAGCGAAACTGGGTCCTTATCATGGACAACGAGACGGGGGTGAGTTTTCTTCGACACGAGTGATACAGGTTTTTCCCCTCTAACGTGAACATCGAACGCTCCTGTCGAACGCGCGCGAACGAGATTCAGAATTGATGCACTTTGCGAGACTGCACGCGTGGTGGCTCTAATTATATCCACACGCTCTCTTATCGCGTCCCCGATCTTCGATATATGTACGGCCGCGTTAACACAATTTCCGAGGCCGTAATAAAACGTTAATTAAAATCGAATGTTTGTCGCGATCGAAGGCCGCGCGTGTGTGTCGTCCGTGGTGGCTTCGTTCGGCAACGTCACGCAGGAAAGTAGACCGTCCGCGAAATTGCCGCGTGCATGTAGTTTGACGACAGTTTCACTTAACGATCCATGATTTTCAGGCCGTCATGGAGCGGTTCCCGGCTTCGTTAATTCAGGAACCGACGGCGTTCACGTCGCGGGATCCCATGGAGATGTACAACAACATCCTTGTCTTCACCGTGGCCGACGACAGCGGTTCCGGCCAGCGAGCGGAAATGCACATATTTCAGTGTCAGAGCGTGTCGGCGCAGGACCTCGTCGAGGACCTGAAAATGCTGCAGATGGGAAAATTGGTGACGGGCGGTTCGCCCAGAGGCCCGAGAGGTCATATCCCACCCCCGCCTGCTTTACCGCCCCCGGAACCGCCTCTGAACGGCGTCAACGTTAGGGAACAAGTGTCCGCCTTCAACGCGGCTAATGGTGAGTGTGAAATTGTCGTGGATTGACGATTGATATGTCGCTGAAATGTTAATCTTTGTATATATATACATTTGATGTAATGTTTATTTCCGTAATCTTCGTTGCGTTATAAGAACCATAGTGACATTTGCATTGTGATTCTTCGGAGAGACGACGTAATGTTGACATGAATTCTGAGATATTTCTGTCGGTTACATAGCGGACGGTCAGAACGACATATCGCGGGAGGAGAACAACGACGAGGTGTCGTCGACGTCCTCGGAAAAGTACGAGCGCGACGTGACGATTCTGAATCATTGCTTCGACGATATCGAGAAGTTTATCGCGCGTTTGCAACACGCCGCCGCCGCGTCCAGGGAGCTGGAACGCCGGCGGCGCAACCGCAAATCGAAAAAGAGAAACCTGGGCGACGGCATGCTAACGATGAGAGCGAAGCCGCCACCCGAAATGGAGTTCATCGACATCTTCCAAAAGTTTAAGCTTTCCTTCAATCTGCTGGCCAAGCTCAAGGCGCACATTCATGACCCTAACGCGCCTGAACTCGTGCACTTTCTCTTCACCCCGCTTGCGCTCATCGTGGACGCTTCTCACGACACCAATTATGATCCAAACTTGCCGAGCAAAGTGGTATCACCACTCCTCACTCGCGAGGCGGTCAATCTGCTGATAAACTGCGTCACCAGCAAGGAAACCGAACTCTGGCACTCGCTGGGCGACACGTGGTTGATACCGCGCGATCAATGGAAGGGCCACGTGCCGCCGTATCATCCGATCTTTATGGATGGCTGGTCCCCGGAGTATTCCATCCCGGAGGACCGCGACCACGATCATTTGGCGTCTCTGTTGAACGCCGACAAGCAGAAGAGGGACGAACTGCCAGAGCAGCAGAATGATCCCTATTACAATCACCGTGACGTGGACGAGTCGCACTACAGCAGCGACTACCTGGAGTACGAGAGCCGCGAGGAACGCGGCGGTAACGAATACTTTGACAGGAATTATGGGCCAAGTTCGGAGCTGTACGGCAGGGAGGAGCGCGCGGATCAGACCAGGGCGCACAGCGACATTTCCGTGGACTCGATCGAGAGAGCACCACGCGCGGCCGCCGGCATGGAAAGAGCGCAGGAAGCTTGGTTGGACGAGCTGGTGGCTCGCCACGCTAAAATCGTACAGGTCACCTATCCACGCACCGCGAACAACGACAAGGAGCTGACGGTGGTTAGAGGCGAGTACCTAGAAGTCCTCGACGACAGCAGGAAATGGTGGAAAGCAAGGAACTCGCGGGGACAAGTCGCTCACGTGCCGCATACCATCGTTACACCGCACAATCCCGCCCATTCCGCCGATAATGATGTCTTCAACAATCCTCTGTACACTAGCAGATACCCGCGGCAGGGGCACGGCTATAATTATGAGGTAAGAGTCGTAAAGGAGAGGCGAACACACCCTTCAGATACCGCGTCGATGAATAATTGCGTCACGATGAACGTTGAATGAAGCTGCGGCCACAGGTGTTCGTGATAGACACGTGCGGCGGCAGCAGCACGACTTGAGACTTGATTAATACGTATAATACACGATTCGTATATGTGTATCTCACGTTATATGTATAATTTAAATATATATGTAGTTTTATATAAATTAATCTATCAACCACTAGTAATAATTATATTAAAGTAATTATTAGATAGTTGATGGACTAATAAAATCTATAAAATTTGTTATAAATTTTCGGTCTGTAATGCGGTCGGCTTCGTTGCAGGATTCAGAGATCGAGAGAACCAGCACTAGTCCAGGCCCAGAAGCCACTCATCGAACACATGCGATCCCGCCGCCGGCGCCTGCTGATTGGGTGAGAAAGGAAAGACTCGGCAAAAAAGGTGAATTTCGCTACTTCTAAGCCATTTGTCCAACTCGCGATTGTGAGTGTCCTGTCCGTATTCGAATCTGGGCGATTTTCCCGACATGGATATCGGAAGTGTCGTCGTTAACGAGCCGAGTTATGATGTAAAACGTGCAGATTCAGGTCGCATCGCTCCCTCACGTATATGTATAAGCAAGCTTCGATTTATAACGGAGATGTCTTCCAAGAAAGAAAAATATTCTCTCTCTCTTTCTCTCTCTCTCGATTGACATGGTTATAACGGTAGTGTCGTCGATGTGTATACATCATGAAATCCGATAAAGATCAATACAGGAGAGATAAGAGAACGCACATCACGTTTAGCTTGTGAACGAACTTGTAGTATAATTAGATCACCGGCCACGTCACGTTTCAGTTGGCGCATTTATCAAAGGATTTTGCAATATCCGACGATTTCCTCTCAAACGTGAATGAGTGTATGTATAGTGCGTATGTGTGTGTGCGTGTGTCTGTACATACGGAGGTGTGAGCGATTAATATGTAGACTGAGCCATTTATACGATTGCAACAGGGGCGTGGTATTTTAAGTTGCTCGCATCGCGATGTATTCTAATGTATCGTTACTTCAGAGTGACGCGCTGCTGAAGTTTGTTTTTCTTTTCTTTCTTACGATCGTCACTCTCGCATTTCTTATGTCATGAGATCGTAAGCCTCCGTCCTCCGTTCTGTACGATCTGAAATGCAATGATTGCAATAAGCTCGCTATCAGTAGAGAGTCAGTAAGTACGGCAAGAGGAAAATCCCAATGTTATCGAGTAGAGATCGCCTGCTCTATCGTTAAGATGTGAATAACGTATTTTACGAGATCATTTTTATTTTTGATGACGAATCGTCTCGAATCTCCTTCGCCGGGAGAGGCGGCAGAGCGGCGGTAGGTGAGAGAATCGTTATCGATGAGAAGATAAAGCGACCGTAAATTGGAGCATCGCGAAACGACAATCGAAAGTAGAAGATATCGAAACGGAACTATTTCCCAACGCGACGCGACGTATGACGCATGACGCATCGCGTTCGATGCGTCACGCTCGTAACGAGAATTGAGAGACATCAACTTCGGAGCCAACGTTTAACATGAAATTAAACGATATAAATGTAAGCCGTCCAGTAACGAGATCTGTTAGGTGTTATATCAGGTAGCAGTGACTGTCAACCACAGTTGAATTCGAACAAGTCACATGGAATCTCGCAACGCGCTTAACCGAGAAAATCGACAGTGAGAATCGTCGGTCGTCAGGCGTAACGTGGTTGAGAGTTACCGAACTAGTTTCTAATACTGGTGTACTTTTCCGATTATTATCGCTTATGCTGCACAAATCGGCACAACAGTCTTAAACATAAACAGGCATAAACTCCTATCACTCATCCAAAAGTTTTCCATGAAAAGTCTACACTGCTCTTTAGAGCGATGTAACATCACACGTTGAGGCTGTTATATCGATCTGTGTGTGTACCGTCACATATAATAATATCCTTTATATTTATCGACTAACCAAATTTAGCTATATAGTTTATAACGGAAAAGAGAATGATTATAAATAAATAAATATATATATAGTGTGTGTGTGTGTGTATGTTATATATATGTTACTTTACGCAGGAAAATGATATGAAGCGTTGAAATGAAAGATAGGGTATTCATTTGATAAGAAAATATATATGAATAAAGCAGTGCAAGTTATACACTGAGTGGAAATTACATATATATATTATATATATATATATATATATATATATATATATATATATATATATATATATATATGTGAT